TTGTCTGTATAACTTTTATGCCTAACTGCAAAGTGCAAATCATTTATGTATAATGTATATATACCTAAATAGTGTAAATTGTATGTCCATGTTGCTGACATAATTTTTTAAATAATTGTTTAATATGTTATCAACACCAAAAAAAATACTTAACTAGTAACAATCACTGATAAATAGATTTTAATCACTTGGGGGTATTTTAATTTTTCTTTGCTCTCAAATTTGACATCCAGTGTCCGAGTACCCTTTTATCATTGGGACACAACTCGTGTACCAGAAATTTAGTCGGGACACAACTCGTTAACTGCGCCATCCACATTACTAGGGCCCACTCATCGTACTCGAACGCCGGAAGAAAACGTTCAATATCCCATAAATAAAATGTGCCCCGGGTCCCGCAAAACCTCACGCCACCGCTGATTTGATCGCCACTTCTGGTGCGTCAAGCGTCAACTATTTTACGTTCGCCGTCGACCTGTATCAGCCGATACAACAGGGTCTCTAGAAATTTGGCGACAACAGTAGACGAGTTATTTTATTTTATTTGCCGTTTCTTGTTCGTATACCGTCATCCTACAACATGATCGGCTAGTATACAATCGCGGTCGCAGTCAATTTACTAGTTCGGGACACTATTCTTCTTCTTTAATCGGTTTTCTTATTTTTATTCTCAGCAGCGACGATGATTGGCAGTTGCAATTAGATTGTAGACGCTGTAGTTGCAATGACATCATAATTTCTAGCACCCATAATATGGTTATACAAGAGACACTCGACATCGGTACTAATACAGCATAATAATTCTTTCTTTCCCCTAATTTTACGTTTAATTATGAAATCTTACATTTCATGTTAGAGCTACGTTAAGCTTTGTCTATAATATATTATATAAATGATAACGCTTTGATTTCAATAATTGTCCAAAAGAAATCTTAAAATGCTCATAACGCCAGTGGCGATTATAAAATTATAATTATAATTATATATAATCATAGTTATCTAGGTTTATAAAATTGTTAGGTTTTTTTTTTTTGTTACAATACATCATATTTTACTTTTGTTAACTAGGCACTTAATATTGTGCTATTTAAATAAACTGTATTGTCTTTTGTGTTATGAATTTAATCTAAAGTGATATRAATGGTAAGTTATTGCTAATTAACTAAAAATATTTAATTGAATTTTCTAATTAATAAATACATTGTTGGGTGAGACGTAGCTTTTGGAAAATGGTTGTYGGAAACAAAAACTTGCGCGGCTATAATAATATTTTAGTATTTTACAATAAAATATTATCAATGAGGACAAAAATAAATACTAATGTATACTGCTATGAATAAATGAAT